AGTAGTAGTAGTAGTAGTTATTATTAGTTTCAAAACACAATCAATATACACATTCATAAATAAATAAATGTATATATATATATATAAAATTTCAACCATTTGTATATGCATTTCTCTCTATTTATGTGTATGCGCATGTTACAGCTGGAGATGCTAGCTTTGATCAACACGACTCTCGCACTGCTTGTCGGGCAATGGCCAAGTTGTCCATTGGTCATGGAAATGTCGATCTTCCGATGTGCTGTCCCGTTTTCGATTGGCTTGAATAATACTTTCCCCCCACGGCTGCACCTCTGTGTGGAAAGAGCAGCAGACTGGGACCGTCGGAAAGCAAAAGCTCAGATCGCCTTCGACTTTGGGGACTGCATCACAGAGCAGAAGCACGAACTCCTCAGACTCCTCGATGCTTGGCTCAGGCTATCGCAAAACGAGGTCTCTACGTATTGCCTGCTCTGGTTACCGTCTGTCATGTGTGAGACACCACGCCAGGGCTAGAGTTGATTGTTGCAGGCAGAGTGATATGAAATTACGTCAATGCAATCTATGCTACACTTGTTTTGTCAGTGACTTCAGTCTGCACGGGACGCATCTCAGCCTGCCACGAAGGAGGAGCAGCATGATACGTTCACTGCCGCGGTCGAGCAGGCTTTCCACGAGGTGCAAAGCCACCCAGGCCGGAACTGGATCGGAAGTTTATAGGCTTGCGTAAGAGGCGGCACGACGTAAGCTCCATGAGGCTGTGATGTCTGTGCCTCAAGCCCGGCCATAGGCAGACCGCCATCGAGCGGGAGGGTCGCTTTTTTTGCGAGGCACATGTCCACCTGGGTACATAAGTCAGGTCTTGGAGCTGAACTTACTGCATTGAGTGGCATGCCACCATTAGCAGCAGTGCAGTCGGCTATGCAACAGCCCTTCCAGCCCATAGAACTGCTTTGTCAGATAGATCGCATATCGCCGGCAGGCGCATCATCTCCTTCACTCAAACCCGGCATTTTCGAGGCCGGTGTTGATCTGCTGTCCTCTCAGATTGCGAGAAACAAGCACAGCCCAAGTTTAGAGCTTCTGTTTGGAGCATACTGTTAGTCTGATGTTTTACAATGCTTTACACTCTTACAGCCGTGGACTACCTGACTACCTGGCTACCTTCTTGCAGGAGCAATTGTTCCTAGGCCGATCTGTGCACAAGCTGGGTCACTCATCGCCAAAAAGACTTTCGGCCTCTAGACATTCCAGCTTCCCCGGCTTTGGGATTACGGTATGGGCTCGACTGGCCAGGTCGCACCTACGGGCAAGCCAGCACTGCCCGAATCCGGGATTTGCAGTGAGTACAGATTTTGTGCTAGAAGTCCTTGAAGCCCACGCTTGTGAGAGGATTGTGCGGTGCAGTGGCTTCCGGCCAGAGCGACATGCAGAGACAGTCGCATTGTCAAGCTGCGGAAAGCGCGCTGGATCAAGTATGAAGAACTTAGGACACGGTGGATCCGTGCCCGGCCCCGGCTGACCCTGATGGCATGGCAAGAGAAACATCTCCGTCTGTTCCTTGGAGATAAATGCTGTATGGGGGTGTAGGCTGGGCGAGTGAGTGCGGGGCAACATCGCGCCTATAGCCGCAACGTTTGCATCCGGCGTGTGCCAAACGGATTTGTTCTGTTTGCCCAAGCAGTCGGAGCAATCGATAACGCACACGTGTCCTCCCAGCTCGAGCAGTCTTCCAACCTTCGAACTGCACCATTCACCTCGCAAGCAGCCGCAACATGAGGCTTCGCCGTTTGTTTAAATTTGCAAGCTCAGAATTCTAAAACGAACATCTCTCAATTGGGGACTAAACTTGCGCTCTTGGACCTTTTCAAAAGTTGACACCATGTACGGTTGCTCATATTATTTCATATTATCTTGCGAAGAGAAGGGGGGGTATGCAAGGAAGCTCAGCACGTGGTTCCCACATCCCTCAAAGGGGCTTCAAAGGTCCATGCTCGTGTCGGTTCTCAGGAACTTGGAGCTCAGAGTGACGGCATAAGGAGTAAGGCCGCTGAGCAGCTGACATTCCAAGCCCTGAGCTGATAGTTACGGTAGTTATGTCATGCTTGAGTTGTGCGGTTTCGAAACTTGCAAAGCGCACCGCGCATGCTGAAGCGAGTAGCTGAAATCGAGGAATCCGCACTTTCGGATGATGCAGGACCCGGGGGGATGGCTGCAAGTCCATGATGCCTTACATGTCTGCTGAGCGAATCTGGTGGAACTATTGGCAGCATCCGGTCCTGGCCAGGTGGGAAGCGAAAATCCTTCCAAAAACAACAGGGTCCAGGAACTCCGATCAACACAACAAAGTGGCCCATCCTCACATGAAGCCGTTCATTGAAATACCAAGTGCTGCAGTGTGGTGCATGTGGTGCAGTGCGGTCTAAGATTAGGTTTAACCATCTTTGTTTTGCTAGGTGCAGAGCCCACCTACATTTATGGACCGATGCACAGCGCAGGAATGAATACTACCATCACCTCATCTGCAGTGAGTCCAGCGCCCTCACTCCCGGCACCAGATTTGAGACTGGACTGCTGTCAGTTTCAGAATTTCAATGCGAATAGGAAGCCAGAGTGAGCCTGTACTGGTGGCATTTTACTGGGGGATTCCCAGTCCGGACGCTTCCATCGGGTCCCTGTCCTCCGGTTATCTGCAAAGCATCATTGTCAGTTTTCGGGTCCTGTTAAGGGAGCCTCGGGGCCCTTCCCAGAGTAGTGAGGTTGGAGACATGGTAGGACTGCTTGCGCTGCGCTCCCGCCAGAGGCTCTACAAAGAGAGATGTTTTGCTTTCTCAACTTGGAGTATCTGTCCGTTTGCTGAGTTCATGTACTGCCCACAAAGCTGTCTTGCACCACTTGTGGAACCCAGGAGCCAGCCGAGCAACTGGGAGGAGCCAAAGCGTCGCGTGTCCCAGAAGTCACAGAAAAGCCACCTGGAGCAGTATATCATGACGATGTCGGTGCAGCTTCATAGGGCTTCCGTCCGCTTGAGATCGTACAGAAACGCCGTCATTCGCGTAAGAATCGAAAGGACATGTGCGCACCTGCGCAGAACGCCTGATCTACCAAAAAACGTCTGAGATATGATATTGCACATTTATCAAATTGCTTGCTAGGACGGCCTCATACGAGGTAACGATTGATAAAGAGTAGAGAGAGAGAGAGAGAGACAGAGACAGAGAGACAGAGAGACAGAGAGAGAGAGAGGGAGAGGCCGTAGCCATTTTGGCTCAAGTCGTCCGCGGGGTCTCTCCCTTGGGGGGGGGCCGCTCAGCAACGGCCCTTTGGGCTCGGGGGGCTTCTGTCCGGGATTGGGGGTGGACGCTTGCTTGAGCGGGGGCGGCTTGAGGCCATCCGTCGAAGCCGTCTGGCTGCAGTGGCCCCACTACCGAAGGCCCCCCCTGCGCAGCCATCAAGCTCACCGTGAAGAATACAGTACTTTGCGTCCTCACTTTCGACACCGTCACCGGGGAGTTCGGTGACCTCGTAGCACGACGATACCCTCACCTACAACACCGACGAGCTCCACGGGGACCGCCTTTGAGGGCATCTTCCCTTTCGGGGGCATGACGACCGAGGAACCAGGCCCTCACTACCGCACTGTAGCGGGACTGACTATGGACTCCATCGTCTGGACAATCCGAAGCGAGCTCCAACACGGGATGGCGCAACAACAACGACGACTTAGCGAAGAGACCCTCGGCACGATCGAGGAAGGACGCGCTCCAGTCAGCACGCTCATCGAGGAGGTCGAGAACAAGGTCACTTGGGATCCAAGCCACCCTCCACGACATCCAGGAGCTGTCCGAAGGACAGGAAGAACTACAGAGATCCTTGGGACAGACGTTCTTGCCTTAGAGGAAAAGTTAGCTGAGCTTGAGCATCGAGCGGGGCCCTGTACTCTACCTGCCCCTTCAGGCCGCACTAAGCCACGGTACCGATGAGCATGGCAAGCCGCCTCTCGGCTCCAAGTGAGATAGAGTTTCCTAAGAGCAACCTTGAAGAGCGCCGTGCCGGCCTGATCTCCAACGGCACGAACGCGATACCTACACCGACCTCGGGGGCCTGGCGCTCACCGGGGAGAATGTCATCCGCAACAGAGGAGCCGAAATGTCGGCGATGCATCCAAGGCCCCAGCTGGCACGGAGGTCACAACCGCTCAGACCCTGCCTGTGCCTTACACGGTTCCACAGTCCGCAACGGGGGAGAGGCCCTCGCCTACCTTCGCCGTCACCGTGCACCGCCGACGGCACCTACAGCACGATCCACCGAAAGCACGCTGTCGACCTCTACTACCAGGGGATCAACGAAGGCACCTACAACACGATCCACCGGAAGCACGCCGGCGACCTCTACCACCAGGGGACGGACGAAGAAAAGCCCACCAGGGCCGCGACAACCCCAACCACACAGCTCTAGATTGCTCGAGCAGCAGCAGCTCAGACGGCGCAACTCTGCCACCCAGCCGGGAACAACCACCCCCGCCGGCGCTACGGGGACCCAGCGAGAAGAAACCCCTCAAGGTCCGGCCCAGCCCGTGTCACCAGGGCCCTGGGGCCCGCAGGACGAGAAATTCGAACAAGAGGTTTGGAACTCCATCCTCGACTATGTGCCCGGTATCCACAACGAACCGCAGAAGCTTCCCCGGAAAAGCAAGAAACAAAGGGAGCGAGCAGGCCGTGCTCAGAAGACAACTGATACGGAGCCCTCCACCAGACAACCGCCAACCGCTCAGTCTCCATCACCCGAGACCTCCGAAGTGACACGAGGGGACCATGGCAGCAAGAGCAGCAGACCAGACCCCCAGACCAGCACAACCAACACGACTGCTCCGACCAGAGGAGTCCTGCGGGGACTGTCCCCCCTCGCTGCCGGCGCAGCCCGTGCCATTCCACAGGCGACAAAAGCACCCGACGACGCCTACTACCAGAAGGCAGCACCACAGGGCGCGGAGCACGAGGCCAAGGAGACGCACACCCACCTGGTGCCCACCAAGACGATCCTGGAGACCCACAACAACGACGCCTACTACCCGACTGCGTCGGCGTCTGCATTCGACGCTCAGCCACAGACCGCCCAACTAGTCCCGCCAGGCGGGCGAGCACCTCAATACAGGGGGCTGCACCCAGACCAGGACGTCTTCGAGGATGCCTCCCCAACCCGCGAGAAGCTGGAGCCCCACGACTACCCCCAGGACGACAGTGGAGAACCATCGGGGACCGCCATGGAAGAAGTTGAGGGGCCAGACTGGAGCCGCGACAGTCAAGATGAGGCCGACGAGGGGAACAACGACGACACAACCAACCAAAACATATCGGAACCGCCCAGCAGGTCATGGGGATCCAGACGACCGGCAGAGCCTGAAGGCCCACCGCCACCAAAGGCCCCCAATGGCCGCACACGCAATGCGGCCCCGCTAAGGGAAGAAACTCGCACAGAGCGCAACCGCCGCGAAAGAGCGGAATGGCGAGAGAGGCGACGACTCCGCCGACGCATGGGACTTGAACCAGGCTACTTCTACAACCTCGGGGACCAGACGGAGAACAACGCCACCTGAGAGGGAAAAGAGTGAGCTGGGCAACCAACCTGAGAGAGCGTCCTCTCATAGGCGACGCAGACTGCATGCGGCTATATTTGATGACTAGGGGCTCGTGTAGTGGCTCTGTTTTTGTATGATCGCACCCAGTGGAGTTTTTACACAAGCCGCCTGTGCACCGGAAGTGTCGTGGTAAAAACAACACACTACCACCGGAACCACCACCGCGAGCCGGGGCCTAAGTGTGTGACGTTCCCCTAGAGACCCTTTTGCCTTTCACCCCTTTGCTTCCTAACCCACAGGCACCGGCTCGACCACAGCGCTACCACCACCGGCACGGGGACCTCCCCAAAGTTGTATGACGTTCCCTTACTGTTCTTTCCTGTCCCCTGAGTGCTTCCTATAAGGGACCCGTGCCCAGACAACACCTAAGCCACAAACCAGAGCGGTATAGCAGTCATACCCATACCGAGGTTGACATAAAAGCTGACACACTATACTGAGGAGTAACATGTGCCTTTCCCACTACGGAACTAGAAGCAGCAACCTCGCAATCACCAAGCAACGACCCCGGCAATAACCGGGATTGCGCGGAAATCTGCTCAGAAGGGGGCTCAGCTCACGCGAGATGGCCCAGGCTGGGATTTATAGTGATGTGGCAACTTTTGGAGCGTTCGGGGACAAGGGGGCCACTCCGAGCTGCAGGGCTGAGCCTCTTACGTCTCACAAACCAAGACTCGGACACCGGCGTAGCGCGTGAGCGCAGGGCATTGGGGGCCTCCCCGTGCCCAAACGCCTAGCAAGCAAGCAAGCAAGCAAGAGAGAGGGAGAGAGAGAGAAAATCAGGGGGGCTCACATTCTAGAACTGTTGTAAGGGGGCGAATAATGAGGTCTTCCCATACTTCTCACGTCCTTCCACAAGCCCCCAAAAACATGGGGGGGCCTAGGCGCCCGGGGGACTGAACAAGTCCCGCAGGCCCGACGGAAGAAGCGAGGGAGGGAGGAACCCCCCGAAAGCCCCATGAACGATGGGGGCCCCTATGGGCCGGGGGGCGTAGCGAGCCCCTTGCACTTGAAGGAAGAAGAGGAACAGAGAGAGTGCGTGTCATGTGTCGTGTGTGACATTCAGGGGCATGGATCGACCGAGAGCTACGTATGATGACGAAGCTTTCAATATCATGTGGTTTCAAGGCGAGGTTACATGGCCGTCACCTTGAGACGTTGTGAGTTCAACAGGCTGCTTGCATCTTCAAGTGCCTGGGACTTTTGGTCCTTTGGGGACTGTACACCGAGGCTGGAAATCGAAAGTGCCCACCATGAACCTACTACTGGCAGAGTCCAGAAACCGAGAGCAGTGGGATGCCATGATGCAGCAGGCGTGGCGTGAAGTTCCTGTAGCACTGTAGTGGTAGCAAAGGCTTCCAAGCGAACGCAGGTAGCTGACACAAATATAAGTCCGGTTGTCTGTGTTGACGTCACCAATGTCGGGCTTGGGCTCGTTTAGCCAGCCGTGCATTGAGCAGCGTAGCCACCACTGCGTTAGCAATGCTTTGCGTGCCGATCAGTCAGCGTTCTCCTGAGATCTTTGGACGCTCTGGATGCATAGGGCCAGTGCCAGCTCATTGATGTCGGCCGGTAGGTGCAGAAGTACATCGACTATGTCGCGGGCTTCCTTGTCCTCGTAAACTCCTTCGTGTTTTCAAGCAGCAATGGAGATGCAGGGGCGCGAGCAGTTCCGACTATTGACTATTGTTGGCCCTTTGTGCATCAACCATCTGCCCGAAGTAACAGAAAGCGCGGAGGAAGGAAGCATGCACTCTCTTTGGACCGCCTCGCCGGGATCCGCATAAACAGTGTTTGGTATTTGCATGCAGTCAGTCTGATTACAGACGGTCTGTCTTAGTTGATGAGGTTGCTAGATTTCAAACAGAAGCGTTCAGAGCCCCTCACCAGCAGCGAGCTGCTACCATATCGTTTCCTGCATAGGAGGACCAAAGACAAGTTTGCTTGTCAGTACAATGACAGCTTGAACCCGACGCCCTTGTCTTAGACCAAGCACATGGCATAAGCATGGTATTTAGCATAAGCCCCTGCTAGCAGCTTCACCTAGTGCTCTTAGTGCTCTGCATGAACTAAAGCTCAAAACTTCAAAGTCTTGCACAGCAGCTTCACTCGGTCAAATATCAAAATGCCAGCCTGTAACCGCCCTGAACCCCAACACGGCCCAGGCTGATGTTGCAGCTCGAGCTTGAGGGCAGGGCTGCAGCGGAGTCTTTGGGCCTCCCCGAGGTGCAGTTCGGAAGTTGGGGTTTGATGTAAGTATGTATGTATGTATGTATGTATGTATGTATGTATGTATGTATGGTATGTAGATATATACATGTACATATATATATATATACACATACGTATAGACGTAGATAGACAGATAGATGGATAAACATAAGTATGTATGTGTGCGTATATATGAATATATGCAACACATACATATGTATACACTTGCCTATTGGTCTCTGTGTGTTCGCGGGGTTTGTGCTCGTAGGAATTGTGTCTGCAAGCTTACGGCTCATGTACAGAACAGCAAAAGAGTGGAAGTTGGTCTTGGAAGTACATATGTGTTGAGTGCAGGCTGATGCTTGTTGTCTTGAAGGAATGAAGTTTCAGTTTAAGTCAACTGTCGGTACCATCCTGAACAGCAGCTCACCTTGGCAACAAACAGAACATGTTTGCCAAGTTCTGCGAAGTCGCGCGCGCTTGTCGCCGTCCAATCGGGATTCTGCCGTCCTTTGGCTTTGCTCTGCCATCTAGTGAGCTTTGAGATTTCCAGTAGTCGAGTAGCCCATGACAGCCACGAAGGCTCTGTGGCCTAGCCTACGCCAAATGCTAACGCCAAGTACCAACTAGACCTTCGCCCTCCAGGCCCTGGGCCACGCCCCATGCTGCCTCACGCGGTACTCGATCCTTCAGCCTGATGCTTTTCCTTGACCCACCTTCTGGATCCCCCACCGTCTTGACACATCCCCTTACTCCGAAACCGGTAAGTTGGCCCTTCCCAACACCGAACAACTGTCTTAGTTCTGCATAAGGAGATCTCTTGCGGGGTTTTCCTGATCGCCCTCAGGGACAGCGCTTCGATGACATCCTTCCGGCCTTCAGAACCGTGGACACAGCACCTCACCTTTCCGAAGTAGGTTTTTGAGGGTTTAGGGCAGTCGCAGCCCAGAAGGATTCTGTATTCCGATTCCGGGATGCCTGGAAGGAATGGGAGTTGTCGCATTGCAGCTTTACAGGTGTAGAAGTGGCAACTGGCACAAAATCTTGTAGGCTTTCTGGGGGGGCTTCACACCGCGTATATGTACCACAAAGCTTGTTTCACAGGTGCTGCTGAACCTTTCTGCAAGCCTAGATGAACCAGCTATTTCTTGTAGTTGGAGCGACATTTTGCATTTGCATCGAGTGGATAACTTTTGATGAGTGTGGCGAGCACGCGTGGGTTGGAGGCGGGCCAGGTATCTGCTACACTTTTTGCATATCTGGAGCCATCCGACTTACCAAGTCAAGAGGAGCCGTAGAGTCCGTAGAGCCTAAGATGGGCCGAGGCTTTCGTGTTTATCTTCACGCTGGAGCTTCTCTTGCGTGCGGCAGCGACTTAGCTTCTCACTCTGTTCGTTCCCTGATTCCCTTGTAGAGCCCCAGCCTGCAGCTGACAGGGCGAATTTCGGGCACTTCAGAACTTTAGGACTTTAGGGTCGACGTCTAGGAGTCTAGGGCGGACCATGAAGGGAGCCAAGCGCAAGCCTCAATTGACCGCTTTGCCAGAGAGAGCTTTCTCCAGGTGGAGAGGACAAAGCTCTTTCATGACCTAGCCAACTGGCTGGACATCGTTTTGGTTGCAGGCATCCTCTCATGTTCTCTCTTCTCGTACGGATGCTTTGTCGCGGCTCTGGCACATGATCTGTACACTTCGATCGTCCTTCAATGATCTAACATTGACAGCTGACAGAGTCGCCCTAAACTGGACCCGAGTCGCCATTAGATTCCTCAGTAGATTCTATAGACGTGTGCAGCCTCGCCTGGCTATTCGAGTGACTACTCCTTTCTGGACTCTGGATTACCCTGAGGTTCCGAATCCCCTGAAGAGAAGTTGTGCTTCCACGGAACGTCTACAGATCAGATTTCTAAAACTTCGCCGTGCCTTATCTCGGGATCTTTAGAATGAAGGACCCTAGATTAGGTTACTTCTGAGGGTCCTGCAGCTTCTCAAATTCCCCATCTTCAAATCCTACATCTCATCAAAGCGGCCTTGCTTCTGCAGGTGGCTTGGTGGACATTTTCCTGAGCCCGCCTTGGAGCAATGCCAGCCAACAGGAGTCCTTGCAGTAGTAGTAGGAGCAGTAGCAGCAGCAGGAGTAGTAGTAGTAGTAGTAGCAGCAGCAGCTAAGCGCGTCTGGTGTTAACCTTGCTTTCGGGCGTTTTTCCGGGGTTCGGGGGGTGGGGGAGTGGGGGGGGGTGGGGGTGGGGTGGGGGTGGGGGGGGGGGGNNCGATATGGTTGACAGCACAGGTGCTTGCTTTTTTCAGTAACAGCAATAATCACGGCAGTACCCGCAGCAGGAGCAGCAGCAGCAGTAGAGTCCTGGTGTTATCCTTGCTTTCGGGCGTTTTTCGGGGGTACGGGGGGTGGGGGGGGGCCAATAACGATATGGTTGACAGCACAAGTGCTTGCCTTTTGCAGTAACAGGAGTAGCAGCAGCAGCAGATCAATCACGGCAGGAGCAAGATATCGTCATCTTCATAATCATCGTCATCCTCAACATAGTCGTCAACCTCAGCATCTTCATCATCATCATCATCATATTCTTTGTACGTAGTAGTACTCCCAATTAGTTGGACAGAAGTTCGCGTAACTGCATTTTCTAAAGATTGTGTTAAAACCTGCAT